GGATGCTCTCGATGGTGCAGCGATAGAAGTTCACCAGGATGTCTGAGGACAGGTGGTTCTTCCTCAGAGTCCTCAAGAAGAAGAGGCGCTGGTGAGCCTTCTTGACCAGCTTGGAGCAGTTGGTCGTCCAGGTGAGATCCTCGGAGATGTGGACTCCCAGGAACTTGAAGCTGCTCACACGCTCCACAGCCGTCCCCTTAATGTGGATGGGTGGATGTGGGTCAGCATCCCTCCTGTAGTCCACGATGAGCTCCTTAGTCTTCTCGGTGTTAAGCAGCAGGTTGTTTGTGTCGCACCACTCAGCCAGACGATCCACCTCCTCCCTGTAGGCGGCCTCATCGTTGTCACTGATGAGGCCAATCACCGTGGTGTCATCTGCAAACTTAATGATGGTGTTGGAACCATCAGCAGGTCTGCAGTCGTGGGTGAAGAGGAAGTAGAGGAAAGGGCTCATCACACAGCCTTGTGGTACACCGGTGTTCATCGTGATTGTAGATGAGCAGCGGTTATCCAGCCGGACATGTTGGGGGCGGTTGGTCAGGAAGTCCAGTGACCATTTGCAGATGAGGGAACTGATGCCCAGGTCTGTCAGTTTCCTGATGAGTTGTGAGGGGTGGATTGTATTGAACACTGAACTTATTAGAGCGATTAGAACATGCTGTAGGTATTACAGGTACTGCACTGCAGTGGTTTGTATCATATCTATCTAATAGACTCCAGTTTGTGCATGTAAATGGAGAGTCCTCTTCACATACTGAGGTTAATTATGGAGTTCCACAGGGTTCAGTGCTAGGACCAATTCTGTTTACATTATACATGCTTCCCTTAGGCAGCATCATTAGAAGACATAGCATACATTTACACTGTTATGCAGATGACACCCAGCTCTAGGGCTGCTCGATTATGGCAAAAATGATAATCACGATTATTTGACGATATTTATTTAACAATAACAATGTGTTGAATAATGACTTTAAAGATTGTCAAAAAATAATATAAAATAGTGCAAATACTGATAACAGTGCAAATGTTTGCAATATAAAAAATAAATGAAAAATGTAAACATCTGTGTTTAGTGAACTTTGCAGTGTTGCTCTGTGGTGCAGCTACACTGTAGCAAAGTTACACACTGTGTCTACTTGAGCCACGTCTGACTGAACCCATAATGTTTCCACACCACTGAAGTTTTACCTCTCTTTTCAACCAACGGCAGTCACTCTCCTCTCCAAATAACTTCTGCTTAGCTTTCCGAGCTTCCCTCGGGTCCTCTTAATCAGCGGTCCCCAACCTCCGGGCCTCGGACCGGTACCGGTGCCCAAGCGAAAATCTGTAGTGATCCCGTACGTGTCAGGAGTATCGGAGCAGCTGAGACACATTTTTTCTAAACACCAGGTTTCTGTGGCTTTTAAACCCCAAAACACGCTGCACCAAAAATTGGTCCACCCCAAGGATCGGGTCCCCGACACAAACAGAGTAACATAGTGTACGCTGGTAAGTGCCAGGATTTAAACATCGGGGAAACCAAACAACCTCTGGCGGAGCGGATGGCACAACACAGCAGAGTCACCTCACAAGGCCAGGACTCTGCATTATATTTACACCTACAGGCCAGTGGACACTCTTTCAAGGATGAGGATGTAACATCCTGGACAGGGAGGAACGCTGGTTTGAGGGCGGAGTCAAGGAGGCCATTTACGTGAAAAGGGAAAGACCATCTCTGAATGGAGGAGGGGCCTAAGGGTACATCTGTCACCATCTTACAATGCTGTGATTGCAGCCATTCCCCAACTCTGTGAATGGGACTCAGTGATCAGTGGTCTTTGATCAGTGGTCTTTGATCAGTGGGTTTTGGTCAATGGTCATGAGAATTTGCATAATTAAGATTAAGGAACTGACCTCTCAGCCCATTGTTCCTTCAGTGGGCTGGTTTCAGTCATTATGCAATGTACTGTTTATAAGATTGAAACCTGCAGTCAGCTGAGACTGAAGAAGTCACCTGGATGAGTGACGAAACATTTCTGCCTCAAAACGCTACGTCCAGATGAACATAATCAACTTTTGGAGATTATGAATGCTATGTTATCCGCATGCTCCACCACCTTGGACCTAGTGGCCCCCGTGAAAATGAAGCGTCCTAGATCCTCCACTCAACTCCAGTTAAATGACTCTATACGAGACGTTACGCCGTACCTTTTGTCAATCTGAGAGGAGGTGGAAAAAAGATAAGCTTCAGGTATCCCTTTTACGTAGCAGCCGCACTATATATCAGGACTCTTTTAAGACTTCTAAAGCGGCTTTTTTGTCCGACACCATCGTGACTAATACCCATAAGCCCCGGGTCCTGTTTAAAATTTTCAATTCTGCGATCGATCCTTGCCCTGATAAAGTAGACCTAACCCTAACCCTCCCCAGTTCTCTGTGAGCAATTTTTTAATTATTTTACGAGGAAAATCTCACTTCTAAAAACCTCACTCCCTCATCTTCCTGTGGTGAATCCTCGTCCTCCTGGAGGATCTCCGTCCAACTTCTACAAATCTGAACCAATCTCACTTTCTACTCTTAAAGCATAATTGATCAATTGAGAAGTTCAAACTCAGCTCGGCTAATTTATCATTACTCGCAGGCCATGTCCCATCTGCACTTAAACATGCAGTGGTGCAACCTATCCTAAAGAAAACTAGCCTCGACCATACTGACCTTGCGAATTATAGGCCTATCGCTAAACTTCCGTTTTTATCTAAAATATTAGAGAGAACTGTCCTTTTGCAACTACAGGCCTACTTAAATGCAAATAACATTAGTGACAAATTTCCTCACCACAACACTGAAATGGCACTGCTGAGGGTTTTCAATGATCTTCTTTTAATTACCGACTCAGGTTGCCCTGCCATTTTAATTTTATTGGATCTGTCCGCTGCTTTTGATATAGTAGACCATAAAATGATTTTAGAGAGACTGGAACATGTTATAGGCATCAAGGATTCTGCACTTTGGTTTAAATCCTACCTCTCGTGTAGGACTTTCTTTCATGATGGGTTGCTACTCATCCGCCACTGCCCTGTTTGCCGTGGAGTACCACAGGGGTCTGTGCTGGGCCCTCCAGTGTTGCCTTGTACATGCTACCCCTGGGTTCTATCTTTGACAAACATCAGATCTCCTACCACTGTTATACTGATGACATTCAAATCTATTTCCAGTTGTGTGATGACCTGCCAGCTTCATTGAATCGTTTGTCTGACAGCTTGAAAGAGGTTACAGAGTGGCTGTCAGCCAATTCTCTCATTTTAAATGAGAAGAAAACTGAGATTATGGTGTAGGATAGTCACACTCCACGAGACCAGCTAGCTGCCCGATTTGCTCCCTTTGCTTACTTTCTTACAGATACTGTAAGTAATCTAGGTGTTTGCCTGGATAGCTCATTTAAGCTGGATAAACAGGTTTCCTCTGTGGTTAAATCTGGCTTCTTCCAAATTTCCATGGTCAATCGTTTAATACCGTACAAAGATCTTGAAAAACTGGTACATGCCTTTGTGACCTCCAGATTAGATTATTGTAACTCGCTCTACTCTGGACTCCAACTCGCTCACCTCCAACGGTTACAGCTCATTCAGAAAGCTGCGGCTCGTCTCCTAACTGGAACTAGAAAGTTTGCCTGTATTACTCCAGTGCTCTCTGACTTACATTGGCTGCCTATTAAATTTCGTATTGATTTTAAAGTTCTGCTGCCTACTTTCAAATGCCTAATCAACCTTGCCCCTGACTATCTCACCAACCTCCTCAGTCTCTATACTCCCAGCCGTTCTTTGTAATCATCTGGTCAGTTACTTCTGGCCCAGCCCATGCTCATGTATTAGGGCAATGGACAGTAAATCTGTCAAATAGTGCAGTGGAGCGAAAAGTACAAGTAAAATAATATTTTTTCTTAACCTCCCACCATAGTATAGACAAGTGAGGACATGAGGATTGAAGACCAACAAAATCAGGAATGCAGGAGGCAATTCAGGGGCAAACCTACTTGGGCGAGGCCATGCTGCCGGAGAAATTTAAGAGTGTATACACTCACTTTTGTCTCCTGAAGAGTTGATCCCACTTCAAGGGGCAATAACACTGTGAATATCAGTGAAGTTGATACGAGCTTCTGACCCTCCTTCATGTAAGGAGAAGATCAGCAGGCTGATGTTTAACCAACATTTAAACATTTCACTGTTTACAGCCACCCCACCCTGTGAGGCTGATTCCAAAGCGCAGACACCACCTGAGTCAGAACAGAACCGATTCACATTCACATAGGCCTACCATCATTCAGTCTATCTAATAACACCACCTTTAAATAAGACCGCCACCTCGTTCGTTCATATGTCCGTCACGGTTTTTCTGCTCATCAATACACATGCCTGCGGTCTCAGGGCTGAATAGCACACATTTCCCATCATGCTTCATTGGGTAATTTCAAATGGACCAATCATCTTCCCATTACACTGACACCAGTACGTGTGTGTGTGTGTGAGAGAGAGTAAAAACACATTCACCTCGGAGCAGCGAGCTACAGCCACTCAGCTCTCAGAAATGAGCCGTGTTGTCATGGCAACATGGCAAATGAGAATCCAGCATCCCTGAAACACCTCCAACCTCCAGTGGTTGTTGGTTCGATTCCAGATTAGCCGGGCCTTTACACAGAGCCTTTCAGATTAAATGCACAGGACCAGATGAGAAGCCCCGCCTCGACGTGAAGGTCCCTGATCTGATTGGATGAACTGCGTGTAATCTTAAACTCTCTGGGCTGGTTTAAACAAACAGATCAGAATAATCAGGTGGATTCATAAAGGAAACATACCTGACTCCAACTGTACTGATCGCAGGTAAAGAACTGAGAGGTCACATGACTCAGTGAACAGAAATGTCACATGACACCTGGTTTGTCACGTTTCTGCATCCTCACCAGATAAAACTGTAAAAGATGGCCAGCACGAACACAACATCTGCAGCAGGTGTTGTCTTACCTGAGAGCTGAGGAGGGAACAACAGCAGGTTGGCCGCAGAGGTTTGTCTACGTGATCTCGGGATTATCCGATTGGTTAATAGGAGGCGCTTCTGTCTCCTTGGAAACACCCCCACTTCCTCTGGTGAGAACCAGGTATCAGTGATCTGCAACTACAGTAGCAACATTAGCATTTTCCAGTATATGTGTGTGTGTGTGTGTGTGTGTGTGTGTGTGTGTGTGTGTGTGTGTGTGTGTGTGTGTGTGTGTGTGTGTGCGTCCGTGCGTGCGTACCTTTGGGAAACGATGATGACAATGATGGTGAAGAGGTGAAGACTGATAAAACGGCTGGACGAGAGGAACGACTTCAACTGCTGGACGTTCCCACTGAAACCACAAAAAATTAGGATGAACTTCCTGCTCCACCAACACAGACAGACACACAGACAGGTAGACAGGTGCTGGTGCAGCCTTCTGTCGGAGAATTTGTCCAATTTGTCCTCCTGGCCCTGCCTGACCTTTGTGCTGTGTGCAGAAATAAGTGGAGGACTTTCAGATGAAGCTGCTGACAGAATAAAATGAGGACCTGAACTCATCATCCTCTTATTGAAAAAGGATTTTTCATCAAGGTGAAGGAGCTGTCAGAGATCCATTATCACTATAAAAACTAAACCTCCTTCATCGGTCACTCAGGCACAGCTGGGGGCCGGCGGAGCTCACGGGCGCGTCACTGCAACTCCCCCTGGCTTCTGCTCCGCGGCTGCTGGGCGAGCCCTCATCTGGGACTCTCCTCAGCTCTTACTGGAACAGTGGCGCGGCTGCCCCTCTGTTGGTCTTCCATGGTCTCTTGTGTTCTGGGGGCCTCTGGATGTCTGGAGTTTTGATCCCCTCCATACCTGCTTCACACCCTGGAGGACGGGGCTGTGGCCCCCCACACTCCCTAGCAGATCATTACATGGAGAAACCTTTGGAATGCAAGCATGCTGATCCACACAGGTATGCACACATGGGTATTCACAGACGTGGACTAAAGCTTTCTTGGCTGCTGCCTCAAAGCACACTGTGCGCTGTCTATCTTGCGTGCTGCACAATATCGTTTATTACTTAGTAAATACTGATATCTATGACTAGCTAGTTTATTGTGATGGTGCTTTGTTTTCTCTATTATTATGTTGCTCTTTGTTGTTTGCTGTCTCCTCTGTTTGTTTGTTTTTTTTCTCCATACAGGTGACCCAGGAGTTTTTTTTTTTTTTCTCTCTCTTCCCCCCCCTTCTCACCGTCTCTTCTCCCCTTTGGTTTTCTTTCTTTCTCTCCCCCTCTTTCTCTCATTCATTCCCCCTGTCCTATTTATTAAAAAAAAAAAAAAAAAAAAGACAAAGGATGAACTGAAGCTCTGCCATCACGTAATGTCGCATACTGCTGTTTCTGATGTCATTTAAGAAAAAAAAAAAAAAAAAAAAAAAAAAAAACAAGGTGAAGGAGCTGTCAGAGATCCATTATCACTATAAAAACTAAACCTCCTTCATCCATCGTCCACGAGTGAAAAGAGGCCAGTCAGAGCACAGAGGTCCAGATCTGTCAGCGGCTTTTCAGTCCAGGCACAGAACCTCAGAACTCTCTGCAGCTCCTTCCTTTCTTGCCACCATTTAATGTCACTGTGCAGGATTTCAGACAGTTTTCTTTGTTCGACACAAACATGCTTTGAAAAGAAAAATTACTTCAGAAGGTCTGCTGATAAGATGTTAAATTCTGTCACTGGAGTTTATGCAGAAAGAATTAAAGAAGAGCAGCACGAGATAATTAATACGACACCGATAATTAACAGACGATTATTCACTTTGCCCTCAGGGATCATTAAAGTTTCATCTTATCTCTAGACTGCAGAGGAGGCCGAACTCACTTAAAGACACTTTAGATCAAACTGAAGAAGCGATGTGAGGAAATCATGTCCTTAACCCTTTCGCTTCACATATAAATCAATCACTTTCAGGGACAAGATGAAACATGAGACATTAAAATAAACGAAGGTCTTGTAATCAGTCAGCGCTGCTCATGATTCGGCTCATTCACTGTTGTAATGTAATTACATTACAACAGAAATGTAATCACTTTGAGCTAATTAAATTCCATCCGAATGCTGATGTGAGGGGATACGTTCGGACATATTTGCATCACTAAAATAGTGTATGCTGAATATATAGCAGTCAACATGTAAGAAAAACTGTTGGACTGATTTGCATGTAACACAATGAAGCTGTCCCTACGTCTGGACACGCCTCGTTCATTCAGCAACCTAAATTCCAGACAATGTTTTTGATTGGTTTCCTTGTTTTAAGCCAGTCAAATCCTTGTGCATCGCTCCGTGTGACCTGACTCGTCCACAGCAGGGCAGGGGGCCTTCAGCGCTGTTAATTCATCAATAATGTTAATTCAGAGGAGACTCCAGCGTGACTCTGCAGAGTAAAACGTTTCCAGCTGTGAAAAGCTTTCTGTCACTTCCTGCTGAGGCTTTCTGCGGTCTGCACTTCTGCTGTATGAGGACGTGCGGGACTACCTGAGAATTCTGGAAGTTCTCACTTTTCTTTTCTTTGATAATTATTATTATTTGATTATGACGATCTCCCATAAACAAGAGAAGAAACTGTCAGGTTTTTTTATTCGATTATTTTCTAGTGATCTTTGAGCACATCAGCACCAATCACCCAAACTACCAAGAACAGTGCCAGATATGAGTGAGCAGGCAACACTAACAATGATTATACAGAACAGGTTCAAACAGAGCAGAGGGAAAGGCAGCCATTGCTTGATATTAAAAACAAATCTTCCACCAGACCACGATGAGGATGGTGTAGGGCGGGGGTGTCCGATTCCAGGCCTCGAGGGCCAGCGTCCTGCCAGTGTCACGGTTTAGATCTCACCCTGGGTCAACACACCTGAATCACATGATTAGTTCCTTGCCAGGCCTCTGGAGAACTTCAGGACATGTTGAGGAGGTCATTTAGCCATTTAAATCAGCTGTGTTGGATCAAGGACACATCTAAACCCTGCAGGACACCGGCCCTCGAGGCCTGGAGTTGGACACCTGTGGTGTAGAGTGCTGGGACAGCTTTGGAGGATTCGTTCAACAAAGAGCTTCTCTGTTAGCAGCCTGTGGTAGGAAACTGAAACGTGTGTAACAGCAGGATGTGCAGACAGCGTTACCTGCATCAGTTGTGCGTGCTCAGGTATCCACACAGCTGGGGGGTAGAACACCAAAGGAGGCATGGCCTGGTATGTTGCAGCTGACCAGCTGGCCAACCACAGCCACTGGGGGGAGGGGTCAGTGCTTACAGACAGCCAGGGTGTGGTGGTGGTTACCATGCCAGCTGGCTGACCTTTAAACCGGGTGACTGGCAGCATCATGATGACATCACCATCTGAGTGGCAAACGGGCAAATTAGGGCTGAGCAGTATGATCACATGGGTCAAACCGTATGCTAAAAGAAAAGAAAAGTTCATGCTGAGGTTAGCAATCTGCAAATAAAAAATACACAAAAAGAAAACATAAACGAGTCAAACCCGAGTTGAGCACATGCTTTCAACAGCCGTGACATCAGCTTCATCAGCGCAAAGTGACACTTCCACAGAAACACTGCATCTTCATCCAAAATCAGTCCTCCAGACAGACCACGGATCGCTGCCAACACCTCCGAATCCAGACCAATAAATATTTAAAAGTTATCAAAGAACTAAATGTTAAACTGAAGTCTCCAACTGGTGTTTGAACTCCACTTTAACAATAGAATATAATTCTACTGTTTCTACTGTTGCATTTAGTATACTCTCTTCATGGAAACCATTACTGATCCAACTGATTATCAATCCGATCATACTGATCACCTCAAAATCATCATCACACCTGTCAGAGTTGTGAGTAATTTCATTTTGATGGAAAGACAACCACGAGCATTTCCTGTTCTTTGAAACACTGATGAACCTTTAGCGATTTATTGATCGGAGCAGGAGCCATTTTTATGGGTTGTTACCTTTTGTGTTTTACCATATGGTGTGTCTATGTGAACGTATTTAAGGTAGCTCACGTAATTAACGGCAGGTGTGTTGTTGTTGGGAAGGAGCAAAGAGTTTGTGACCACTGTGCTGTTCTCATGAATGGTGTTGGATGAAGAGAACTGTTAACAACAAATGCAACTGATGGAAGTGGAATAAAGATGTTAAATGGAGAAGTACGGCTGGAGTTGCTGGACTGTAACAGGTTTCATTCATAACAGTGGCATCGCGTCACCCCCGCCAACGAACACCTCAGAGACTTCAAGCGTAGGCTTAGCCTCTACAATCAGGATCAGCTGAAGCTTCTTTCTACTGAATCCGTCCAACCACAAACAGTCACAACGTGTTTCCGACTGATGTTCCTCACAGGTTCCTCTCTGTGCTCTTACATCTTCTTCACCACGGACACGGTCGGCAGCAGCAGTTTAGGTCACACGATCAACTGCAGATTCAAACATTTTCCTTCACTGATCAGTTATAAAAACTATCATTTTTATTATAATTTTACTCGATCATCAGTCACATTTTATGATTGTAAATCAATACATGATTGTTGTTCTTAACAAATGAATTTTATTATAAAAAGAAAATGAGATTTTGTGTAGCAGCAAAGACGCACACTGAGCTCCAAGCCGTCATATTGGATTAAATACATTTTTATTTCACTCCTCTCTGTTCTGTTATCATTTATTATTTCACTAATGATTTTTACTCTTTTTTCACATTGTATATTGTAAAGTTCTTAATGTAAGCCTGAGGTTTCTCACACTTGGATTACAGATTAGTGTTTGGACTCAGGTATTGATCAGTAATCACTATAAATATCATATCAGAATTAGGAACCGTGAAGTTGGTGCTGTCAGGCCGACACACAGGCATGAATGTGGCTGTTGAATCTTTTCTGAATAGTAACATTCAACTGAAAAATAATCACTTAATATTATTTTATATGTAACATGACGGTGAACATGGTGTCCTCACACACACACATTAATGACAGAGTTTGTATGTGTCTGTTTATTAAAGTCAGACTTAAATAAAAACAAACGTGATGAAAAATATCTGAAGTCAAAGTCTTCAACAGAGTCCAGCTGTGAACAGCTGCTGCTGAAGATGACGATGATGAATGGAGGAGGATGATAATGCAGACCTGCAGCTGACCGGAACATCACGGTAAATCCGGTAAGAGTCACCTACCGACCCGCGGAGCTCCTCCGGCGTCTATCCGGTAAACTGCTCCTCGCACCGGCGGGACCGAGCCTCTGCTCTCCGGTCACGTTCTTCGGGCTGCAGCTCGCGGAGGTCCGCAGATCAGCCTCCAATACGGTTAAGGTGAAAGCACGCGCGCGGCATGACGTGAAATACCGACAGACAGACGCAGACAGACCCGACGGACACACCGCGCGTGTCACTGCGATGCCTGATGGTTGAAAAACACCGGAGCCCGCGTGCAGCTCCGCGTCGTCACGGAGTCTCCCCCCTCCCCCCTCTGTCCGGTACAAACGGATTTGAGCTGAGCTTCTCTCAGATCAAAGAGCCGCTCCCCCTCACGCGCGTGCGTGTAATAATCGATGGTCCGTAAAAATCAGGAGCTTTGAGTTATTCGCGGTTATCGTGTTTGTGGTTCCCGTTGTCCTCCTCATCAGTTTTACTCGCATCTTTTCGTGAGTCTCGTTTCTGTGCTCGTGTCTTCGGTCTCCTCCCACCTGTTTGTTTTGCTCACCTTGTTTCCGCTTCCATTGTCTGTTTGTTAGTGTTTCCTTCTCTTGTGCTCTGTTTTACTTTGAAAGACTGTTTCAGTTTTGCTTCCTGCCTCCCCCCTCCGGTACTGATCGCCTTTCACCTGTAGCTCCTTCCCAGCACTTCCTAAGTTGGCCAACAGTTTAACCTGCATGTTCACTGAAATGGGCGGGGCTAGAAGCAGGGTCAGTGGTTATCTAAAACTGTGATTGGTCGGAGGCTTCCAGACTCGCCCCTACAGCCTCGCCTCTGTACTAGAAAAGCGCTATACAAATGCAGGCCATTTACCTTTGATTCTGATTTCTGATGTTGGTGTTAGTCAGGGGTGGGGGAACTCAGGCCTCATGGGCCAGCGTCCCTGATCCATCACAGCTGCTTCAAATGACCTCCTCAACATGTCTTGGCGTTCTCCAGAGGCCTGGTAAGGAACTAATCATGTGATTCAGGTGTGCTGACCCAGGGTAAAACCACCCCTGGTGTAAGTGAATTCAGAGAGCGGCGCTGTGCCCTGGGTATGCTGAGCTCGCCTCATAGTTCAGATTGGCTGTAGCTCAGCTGGTAGAGCAGGTCTCCCACCAACTGGAAGGTTGGTGGTTTGATCCTTGTGTGCTCCAGTCTGTGTGCCAAATATCCCTGGGCGAGATGCTAACCCCATGTTGTTCTCTGGTGCACCCAAGAGCCACTACGACTGACCTTCTAAAAGAAAAGGAAAAACTCTCCACATGTGATATTTTTTCAGGTATCTGTGAATGTTTACATCTCCCACTCATTCATTGTTGTTTTTCATGTATAAAGATAATAAAAAAGTGACCCAATCAATGAAGCTTTGAGGCAGAAAACAGAATCTAACCCAGGGCTGGGCAACTCCAGGCCCCGTGGGCCACCGTCCTGCAGGTTTTAAATGTGACCCTGTGTAAGCACGCCTGAATCACATGATTAGGTCACTACCAGGCTTCTGGAGAACTTCGAGAGATGTTGAGGAGGTCATTTAATCATTTAAATCAGCTGTGTTGGATCAAGGACACGTCTAAACCCTGCACGACACCGGCCCTCGAGGTCTGGAGTTGGAGACCCCCGATCTAACCCAAACTTTTTGGTTTCTTTAAAATAATCTGCCAACATTCACAGATTCTTGGTGTGTCTTTTTTCCATGCGTCAGTCATCAAAAAAAATGTCGTATGATGAGGTAGATCATAGCGGCGAGCATCTCCTCTGAAAGGGCGACAGTTAATCCGTCTGTCAATATCAGTGTGTGTTTGCAGAGATTACAGCAGAGCCGCTCAAGTCAGAAACAATTACTGATATCAGGTAAAATAAACACACTCGTCACCAGAATATGTCGGATTAAATTGTGCGTGTGCTCAGAAAAAACTCACACGTACAGAATAAACTGTCTTCATTATCGCACTAATGAGTGTTTGCTCGTGATCGACACACATGCACACACAGTTCTGATGAATCAGTACGGCAGTATTTTCTAGTAATGTCACAGATTAAATCTCACACGGAGTATGACTGAGGACATAAAACTTAAGGGATCAGGTGCTAGATTGTGTCTATTTTGTTCCCGTTTTCTGTGATAGAAACTGAAATCTGAGCTCATCACTATTTTAAAGGACAAACTGATCTCTGTGGATAAAATGAGGAAGTTTGCAGAAACCTGTTTTCGGTACATGATCTGATTTTCTGAGACAAATCTGCACAAACTGAAATTCAGCCTGAAGCTTAATGACTGGCAGACTTCAGAAATGAATAAATGATTTTCCCTGGTTGGCAGCAGAGTGGAGCTTCACCACTGATTTAATTAATTCAAATTAGCCAAGGATATCAGAGAACGTTTAACCCGTTTCATGTAAAACTGCTAATCCCTGGTGGAGGTGTAAATGAGACTGAGGCTTTGCATTCATAAAAAAACTCACTCCAGCTGAAGGCACGAGTATTAAAATAAACTTCACATGAGGCAGTGAAACAAAGTCACAGAACAAATATTTATAGGAACTAGGACAGATCAGTGCAGAGGAGGATAAATAAAAATCCTGGGAAACACAGAGAAGTCCTCCGTACTAACACTTCATGTGTTTATTGATCACTCGGAGTAACGTCTTTCAGTCAGGTGAAAAAACCATCGAGCAGCAGCAAACTTCGTTCTACATTTCCTGCTGATGAACGTCAGTGAAGAGACGTTTTGGGCCCTCCACCTCATCGGTATTTCTGGATTATTGTCTTGATCAGCTCTGTGGGGCTGATGTCAGGAGCGCTTCGTGTGACAGACCCCTGTTCTCATATTGTTGCCCTGTTGCTGGGATGGTAAATGCCAAACAGCTGATTCTGTTCGTCTGGATGTTTTCAGTGGGAGAAACGTTTCGTCACATTCTTCAGTCTCAGCTGACTGCAGGTTTCCAACTAGGGCTGGGTATCGTCACTAATTTCTAGAATCGATTCAATTCCGATTCACAAGGTCCCGAATCGATTCGATTCAATTCGATTTGAATCTGGGAAATTTTGCCTCAGACAGAAATATTATAATTCAGATCAGTACATTTACATATTTTTGTATCTATAAAAAGGAAGCTGACACTTTCCAGCCTTTATCAAAGGTGTGAGCATCACAGCGAGGCCTTTGTGTCAAAGTAGCTGAAGATAAAACAGAAAAACATGAAGCTGATTTTCCTGTTCTGGGATTTTATAAAAATATTCTGCAGTCCATCAAAAACAAAAGAAAACCATTAATCAACACATGAACGTAACAGAGGTTTTATTAGAGACACGGCGTTTTGCATTTTGCATCATTTTAAAACGTTTAAATTTGTTCAGTATTGAACGGCAGAAGTTAGGTTTTCTTTTCGGAAGTAAGTAAAAGAAAAAAAACAGCGGCTGACAGCCTGTAAACAACAGTGGACTTGTGCGTAACGAGCAAGCGAATAATGAAGAAAATAGAGAGAGAGAGAGAGAGAGCTGTGCATTGTGGTGGAAGCAAAACAGCAAAAGTCAGAGTGAGTTCATGTTTATGTGAAGCGTAGTTTGGATCTTGGGTGCTGGGGGCAGCACGGTGGCACGGTGGTTAGCACTGTTGCCTCACAGCAAGAAGGTCCTGAGTTCAATTCCAACATCAGGTCTTTCTGTGTGGAGTTTGCATGTTCTCCCCGTGTTTGCGTGGGTTCCCTCCGGGTACTCCGGCTTCCTCCCACAGTTTGTGGGGATAGGTTAATTGATTAATCCAAATTGCTACTAGGTGTGAGTATGAATGGTTGTCTGTCCCGGTGTGTTGGCCCTGTGACAGACTGGCGACCTGTCCAGGGTGTACCCCGCCTCTCGCCCTACGACAGCTGGGATAGGCTCCAGCGCCCCCCGCGACCCTGAAAAGGATAAGCGGAAGCGAATGGATGGATGGATGGATGGATGGATAGTTTGGATCTTCTTTTGCTGCTGGTTCGGTCAATATTGTTTGGAGAGAGATAAAACCTGCAGCTTTAGAATCAGCGCAAAAAGGGCGTGAACACAAAGCTCGACCCGCCGACACATCAGAATCAGCGAGCTGTCGCTTTCAGCCCCGACCGTGTCCGTGCCGTCGGTGAGAAAGTCACATCTCACTGATTCTGATGCGTCGGCGCTTTGTGTTCACGTCTTTGTGCAGAAGCCGTGTTCCTGCTCTCATTTACTGTTTTAGCTGTTTGGTGATTGTTGAAATTTTGTGAGGTTTAACCTGAGATTCTGGCGTTTCAGGCAAAATAAATTTATATAAAAAAATCGATTCAGGATTTTAATGAATCGATTTCACGTTGTCCAAGCCAGGATCGATTTTAATCGATGAATCGATTATAAAAACCCAGCCCTATTTCCAACCTTATAAACAGCACCTTTACACAGTGACTGACACCAGCCCACTGAATGAACAATGGGCTGGGAGGTCAGGTCCTCGATCATTAAATATGCAAATTCTCATGAGCATTGATCAACGACCGCGGTTCTGTAACTGCACTCTATCAGAGCGCAACACCCTACAACGGATAGTAAGAACAGCTGAGAAGATCTCCCCTCCATCACGGACACCTGTCACACCCGCTCCGACCGCAAAGCCACCAGCATCGTGGAGGACCCCACACACCCTCGCACACCCTTCAGCCTGTTGGCTTCTGGAAAGAGGTACCGGAGCATCCGGGCCCTCGCTGCCAGACTGAGGAACAGGTTCTTCCCCCAGGCCGTCAGACTCCTGAACACTCAGTGACTGGATGAACACACACACCTTCATAAATCAACCAAGCACTGTTTGCAAAACCCACTGCCACTGCTGCACATTTCTATTGCACTGTTGTGTTTGTGTCATTCTGGGGTTTTTTGCACACTTGTCTCTCACATTATGTAGTCCTGTGTTGATTGTTTTTCCATATGTAGGAATGTTGGAGGAACGTTGGAGGAACGTTGTCTCGCTGTCTCGCTGTCTCGCTGTGTACTGTAACGCTGACCATGGTTGGAACGACAAGTTTGCCACTAGAATTGTCTTGACTTG